CACTCACGATTCTTCTTCTTCCCAACGTCACTTCCTCAAGCTTGACGTTCCCCGCTTCGACGACACCGATGCTCTAGGCTGGATTTTCAAAATTACCCAATTCTTTGAGTATCACAACACACCGGAAGAGGAACCTATCACAGTTACTTCATTCTATTTGGACGGTCCGGCCCTTGCGTGGTTTCAATGGATGTACCATAATAGCCAAATCCAATCTTGGAATCAACAATTACAAGCCCTGGAGAACCGATTTTCCCCCACAGCGTTTGATGATCCTCGTGGTAAGCTTTTCAAACTTACTCAATCCTCTTCTATTACTTCTTACTTGATTGAGTTTGAGTCTCTGGAAAATCGCATTGTGGGCTTGCAACCTTCCTCCCTTTTGAGTTGTTTCATCTCTGGATTGAAACCGAAGCTCCTCCGTGATGTCATTGCACATCAACCCAGTTCATTGTCCCAAGCGGTTGGTTATGCAATGTTGCATGAGGAGAAGCTTCTTGAAAGCTCCCGCACCCATCAGACCTCCCAACCCCTTTGGTGGTTAGCTCTGTCGGTCTCACGAACATTCTCTCCTCCTTCTCTGTCACCACCGCCAAAACCTCTACCTCCTCTATTACCCACTCCTCCACCAAAAACACGTTTCAACCAATTGACAGAGGCAGAGATGGTGGAAAAACATGAAAAGGGGTTATGCTTCAACTGTGACCAAAAGTTCTCACATAATCATCGGTGTCCTACTCATTATTTTCTTTTGATCGCTAATGAGGATGAATCCTCACCTCTGGACGGTGACCGTGATTGGGATTTGGGTGCTGGATCGGATCCACCAATTGATGAGAAATTGTTGAATCTGTTGTCCGATTCGGCTCAGTTAAGCCTCAATGCTCTCACGGGGACTGGCAATCCTGGGACTCTTCGTATTTTGGGATTGTTGGCCCAATACCAAGTGTGTATACTTGTTGATGGGGGAAGTACTCACAACTTCATCCAACTTAAGGTTGCTCTCCTTTTGGGGTTGCCTCATCATTCCATGGCTCCTCTGCAGGTTCTTGTTGGTAGCGGAGAGAAATTAACATGTGATCAATTTTGTCCTAGGGTAGCTTTAGACATTCAGGGCCATGAGTTCATTGTTGACATGTATATCCTGGACATGGGTGGTGGATCTGATATTGTGCTTGGGGCCCAATGGCTAAAAGATTTAGGCCTAGTTCTAATGGACTACCAGAACCTCAATATGAAGTTCTATTATCACCAATAGTTGATTGAGTTGCAAGGTAATTCAAGGCAACAACCCTCCTCAATTTCTTTCCACCAACTAAACATCTTCCTCGATATGACCATGAGGCCTAATTCTTCTCCCTATAGGTTTCATCTTCCTCTCCTGACCCTTCCATTCCTCCTTCCCTCTATCACCCAAATACTAGTATTCATCAACTACTTAAATCTTACTCCTTCCTCTTCGATGAACCAACAATTTTACCACCCCCACGGGCCACATATCACCACATTCCTCTCGCCGCTGGTGCCAACCTAGTTAACGTTCGTCCTTATCGCTACCCTCACGCACATAAACTAGAAATTGAAAAGCAGATTTCAAAGATGTTGGATTCGGGCTGGATCTCCCCTAGTACAAGCCCTTTTCATCCTAGGTTCTTTTATTGCGCAAGAAGGATGGGTCTTGGCGCATGTGTGTTGATTATAGGACATTGAATGCACTCACAATCAAGGACCACTTCCCTTTTCCAACAATCGATGAATTACTTGATGAATTGAGGCTTGCTCGCTATTTTTCTAAGTTGGACCTAACATCTGGCTTTCATCAAATCAAGTTGCATCCTTCTGATGTCCATAAGACCACATTTCGCACTCACGATGGCCATTATGAATACTGCGTCATGCACTTCGGTCTCTGTAATGGCCCAACAACCTTCTAAGCCACCATGAATGACATCTTCTGGCCACTACTGTGCAAGACTGTCATTGTTTTCTTTGACGATATTCTCGTTTATAGTTCCACACTTGAACAACATGTTATTCACCTCCGTCAGGTGTTTGATATTTTGCACGATAATCAGTTCTACCTAAGACTCACGAAGTGCTCTTTTGCTCAGTCTCAGGTTGATTATTTGGGTCATGTGGTTGCTGATGGTTTTGTGGCCCATGACCATGCCAAAATTCAAGCTATGCTGTATTGGCAAACCCCCACTTATCTCAAGAGCTTGCATGGCTTCCTGGGATTAACGGGCTTTTATCGCAGATTTGTCAAAGGTTATGCTACAATTTCCCATCCTCTCACTGCTCTATTGAAAAAGGGGGCTTTTCAGTGGTCTCTAGAGGCTCAGAGGGCCTTTGATATTCTCAAAATATCTATGACGGAGGCTTCTGTTCTTGCTTTGCCCAATTTCTCTAAGCCCTTTCTCATTCAGACTGATGCGTCGAGTACAACAATGGGTGGGGTTCTAGTCCAAGACTCTCACCCCATTGCCTATTTCAGCAAGGTCTTTTGTCCGCGTATGACCAAGGCATCGGCCTATATTCGGGAACTTCATGCTTCACCAGCGCAATGAAACGTTGACGCTTATACCTATTGGGTTCCTCCTTTATAATTCAAACGGATCAGAAAAGCCTCAAGGAAATCCTCACTCAAGTCATCCAGACCCTAGAGCAGCAGTATTACTTGGTCAAGCTCCTTGGCTATGATTATGATATTTAGTACAAACTCGGGAAACTGAATATGGTTGCCGACGCTCTTTCCCGATCCACTGGACCAGTAGTCGGCGAATTGCAAGTACTCACTGTGCCTCAATTTTTCTTCTTAGATGACTTGAAGCAATCCTTGTTACAGGACACAAAATTCCTCTCCCTACGATAGCGGTGTATCACTGACCCCACTTCAACGCCTCATTTCAAAGTGTTGGAGGGTCTTATTCTATTCAAGGGCAAGATTTGGTTGAGTTCCTCTTCTAAATTCATCACTCTGCTTTTACAAGAGTTCCATGAATCTGCCGTTGGGGGACATGCGGGTATGAACAAGACCCTTAAACATCTCTCTGCCAACTTTTACTAGAGCAATATGGCAAAGGATGTTCGCTCTTTTATCTCTCAGTGTAGAGTCTGTCAGCAAACAAAATATAGTACCAAGCGCCCCAGAGGTCTCCTCATTCCCCTTCCTATTCCTTCACATGTGTGGGAGGATATTACTATGAATTTTATTACTGGGTTACCTCTCTCTCATGGGTATACCGTTATCTTTGTGGTAGTGGATCGGTTCTCAAAAGGAGTTCATTTGGGGGCTCTGCCTTCCAGTTTCACAGCTTATAAGGTGGTTGAGCTCTTTGTTTCTATGTTCTATAAGCATCATGGGTTGCCCAAGAGCATTGTTTCGGATCGAGATCCAGTTTTTATGAGCCAATTCTGGTCAAACTTGTTCAAGTTCAGTGGTACCCTTCTCCGCATGAGTTCTTCATACCATCCTCAGACCGATGGTTAAACGGAGGTTATGAATCACACAATTGAACAATACCTCCGAGCCTTTGTTCATGAGACACCGCAACATCGGTTCAAATTCCTCCCTTGGGCTAAGTTCCATTATAACACCTCCGTTCACTCTGGTTCAAAGCTCCCTCCATTCCAAATCATATTTGGCAAGCCACCTCCTTCCATTCCTGAGTATTTGGCTGGCACCTCTCAAGTTGCTGGTTGTGATTCATTACTCTCCTCACGTGAAGAAGTTCTCTCACTCCTGCGGCATAATCTGCTAAAAGCCCAAAAAAAAATGAAAAGGAATGCGGACTTGAAGAGTAAAGAACTCAGTTTTGAGGTGGGATCCTGGGTTTATGTTAAGCTTCAACCCTATCGTCAATCATTGATTTCGGGTGCCAAGTTTCATAAGTTGTCCAAACATTTTTATGGGCCTTATCGCGTAATAGAGAAGATCGGACCAGTTGCTTACAAACTTGAGTTACCTACCACTTCCAAGATCCACAATGTTTTCCATAGTTCAGTTTTGAAGGCTCATGCGGGTATTCCCCCTAGCACCATTGACTCTCTTGCCCCAAACTCTTGTGCCAATCATCCCTTGGTAACCCCACTGACTGTTATGGGTTTCAAGACTGCTATGGTCAATGGAGTCCCAACACGCATGACCTTGGTCCAGTGGCAAGGTCTTTCTCCCGACGATACTTCATGGGAAGAGTGGTCCAACCTTCAATCTACTTATAACCTTGAGGACAAGGTTGCTGCCAATGGGGATGGTGATGTTACATATGAAGGCCCACTTAATATTGAAGAAAATGAGGATATCAGGCCCAAAAGACAAATCCAAAAAACTAAAGGGATTCCAGAATTTATTTATTATTATTAAATATTTATTTGCATGTGTCAGCATATTCTAGAAGTAAGTTAGTTATGTTGATTTACCTGTAGTGAGGTCATGGACCATGCATGTTGATTGTTAGAATCCTTTCTGTTATATATTTGTTGGTGCGGAATGAAAAGGGGAGAATATTTTTACCCTCAATTCCTTTCTTGATATTTTCTTTAGGAGGCTGCCTGTCCTCTAACTCAGAGCAACTTTCTTTTTCCTTATTACACTAAGACCATAGATTGTTATTTATGCTTCGCTGCATTGAAGTCAATTTTCCCCTGTCCATATGTTTTGATCAATCTCTTGATTATTGACATGAATGCACATGGACTGTTAATGCAATAACTTTCAATAAATAACTCACCATGACTATAAGAATTCTACATCTTGGATTCATAGCACCACTTGTCCACCATTTTGTCCCATTGATAATATATGAATCTCCTTGCCTATTAATGAAGAGAAATTAAGAAAATAACCATATAAGTAGTCCATACTGTCATACATGTTTAATTATGTTATACCAAGAAACATGATTGAAACCTATGGTTAAGTAATTTGATGACGCATTTACATTAGCTAAATGAAAAGACTGAACTGTTGAATAACTTAAGATGATTGATAATTGATAATCCTACCTTGTAATAGAACATTCAATATTGGTTGCATCGGAAGATGCAAGTTGTGGTTCTGTCATAGCAAATCCAAACCTAATCGTCCCCTCAACCAAAGAAACTAGCCATTCTTGTAGTTGCTCTTTATTTCCATAATGTAGTAATACCTAATATACAAAGTAATGTTACCAAATTAGACAAAAATGCAACATAGATAGAGTGTGTACTAAATATGATCAACCCCAGAGAGAACCCAATTAATGTTACTCAATTAATGATCAACCAAGCAAATGTATAAGTTCCATCTTACCTCCATATTACCTGTGTCAGGTGCACCACAATTAAATATTTGTGGAGCCCAAATAAAACGACCCATGATCTCACAAAGGTATCCATATTCGATGTTTGTGAGGCCAGGTACCAATAATAAGTCATTTGCATCAAAAGAGAGATGATTATTTCTCCCATAAAAAATAAGGTTTCTTGCTCTCACGACACTATCAAGCTACATACAAGCGGATGCATTTAGAGAACTTCTTTTTCAGGAAACAAATAGTAATATTGAAAGATAATAAAGGAATTTAAGAAATAACTCAAACATTTAATAATTCCATATTCCATCTAGCTCTTCAGGCTGAATATTTTCTTAGTTGTCCACTTGAGTTATAGAAATTCGTCTAGCATGTACAAGTTCATTTCCATATATGATTAATTGAACCTTTCTTTATATTTTTGTTATTTTATTTTTAAAGTATCTTTATTTAACAAGCTTATATCTATGTCCCAGTGTACTTTGTATCATTTGCATTGTATCTATTAGTTATCCTTTTATCTATGTCCCAGTTGTGGAATTTTTGGGATTAACTGCTCCAGGCTACTATAGGGATGGATTGCTACAAAAAAACTTTGGACTAGTACTCTGAACAGCTAAATTGAAGTTGTCATATGTTTTAAATTCAATCCAACACATTTATTGTTATGTGTGCTTCATGTTACAATTGATTGGACTGATTTTATAAATATTATGTAAAATCTATATTACTTCCATAAAATATATGTCTATTGTTGATGAAAGATGAATTGTGTCTCTATATGTATTATTCAATGATCTGGATGTGTTATTTTATGGTAGGATTACAACAATTTGCTCCTCAATTGCTTGAAGGGAAGAAAATTGTAAAGCTTTTTTATAGTCATTGCAAGTATGTTGACATTACTCATTACTAAATTTTTTACAACATAATCAAATAGTACAATTTAATGACACCAACTATACATAGAGACTGCTTTTTTATGGACCTTTTTGTATTGGTATTATTTTGTAATTGAGAGTGTTTTGTAAAATTTCATGATGTAATTTAGTATTGCTATATGTGCTTAATTTAGTTCAACATGCAGGAGTCTGCATGTTTTTAATTAGTTGGCAGATATAATCATGTACATTTTCCATGAAATTTTCATTATATGAACTTGTGCTTAACATTAAAGTTTGATTTGTAGTATACCTATAAGTTGTACTACATCTATATGAACCCCAATTTCAAGTTTACATTGCAATTAATCTGTCAACATCCAAAATCAATTCATCCTATTTCTTCATTGTTACAGAAGATGGACGATGTTCCTTTCAATCGTAGTTGGATGTATGATAGATGTTATAGTGGTAGAAGAGGTTTGAAAGAGTCTTCTATTATAGGGGTCGAAGAATTTGTTACATTTGCTCGACAATATGAGTATTACGAACATGATGGGAGAATTCAATGTCCATGCACCAAATGCGATTGTACAAGAATTTTGAAGAATGAAATCGTCAAAGTTCACCTTTACAAGCAAGGGTTCAAACCAAACTATTGGATTTGGACTGATCACGGAGAACGTCACTACTACAAAATATACTTTCAACGTCGCCATTTAACGTCGGTTAAAGCTGAGCCGACGTTAAATACACTTTCAACGTCGGTTGGTTAAAAAACGACGTTGTCAACCGACGTAGAAAGCACTTTCCACGTCGGTTCTAGATGAACCGACGTTGAAAGTCTTTTAATTTAGACATTCAACGTCGGTTCCCAGATGAACCGACGTTGAATGTGTTTTCACCCAAAAATTCTCTTAATTTCAAGAATTGTCATTGACAGGATTCGAACCCAGTATTTTAGAGTTGAAAGTTGATACTCCAACCACTAAACTACTGTAATTTTCTGATAATAACTTACAAATTAATTATATTTATATACAAATAAATATATATCCGTGTAAATATATATTTATTTATATATATTTTCTAGAAAGTGTTTTTATTTTTTTTCAGCTAAAAATTTACTTAAGTTCGAGAATTGTCAGCGACGGATTCGAACCCAATATTTTAGAGTTAAAAGTTGATACTCCAGCCACTAAACTACTGTAATTTTCTGATAATAACTTACAAATTAATTATATTTATATATAAATAAATATATATCCGTGTAAATATATATATATTTTCTGGAAAGTGTTTTTATTTTTTTCAGACCAAAAATTTACTTAAGTTAGAGAATTGTCACTAACAAGATTTTTTGAATCCAGTATTTTAGAGTTGAAAATTGATACTTCAACCACTAAACTACTATAATTTTTTTATAATAATTTACAAATAAATTATATTTATATACATATAAATATATATTCGTGCAAATATATAAATATAGAATATATAAATACAAATATATTTATATATTTTGATATATTTATATATATTTATATAGTTATATAGTTATATATTTATATGTTGGATGTGAAGGCGCGTTCGAGGGTGAAAGTGAGATTGACTCTCGCTTGAGTGAAAATACGTTAAAACTCACGGAAATTCACTCGTTCAAGCCTCGCTTGAGCGAAAATTGGTATTTTTCGCTTGAGCGAATGATGCGTTTCTCATATTTATTTTATATCATTAATAAATTATAAATATTATATTCTGTCATTAAATTACAAACCCATATAAAGAGACTCGCTCACAAATTTGACATCAAATTTTGAAAACTCACTCGACACACTTTCACCTTCGAGCGTGCTCTCACATCCAACATATAAATATATAATTATATAAATATATCAAAATATATAAATATATTTGTATTTATATATTTATATATTTACACGGATATATATTTATTTATATATAAATATAATTTATTTGTAAGTTATTATCAAAAAATTCGAGTAGTTTAGTGGTTGGAGTATCAGCCTCCAACACTAAGGTACTGGGTTCGAATCCTGTCGGTGACAAAAAATTAATTTGGTAATGCTCTAAACTTTAAAAAAAGATGATAAATAATAAAAATATAATATAAAAGAGAGAGGGACCTAATAAAAATATAATATAAAAGAGAGGGGGATTTCTAGATAAATAGAGAGGGGAGAGGGGTTGGAAATAAATAAAAATTTTCGATTTGAAAGTCGGGACTTTCAACGTCGGTTCTATTTAACCGACGTGGAAAGTTAAAATCAGACTTTCCACGTCGGTTAAATAGAACCGACGTTGAAAGTCCTGACTTTCAACGTCGCCTGATACAACGTCGGTTCTGGAACCGCCGTTGAAGGCCTTCCAGAACCGACGTGGAAAGCCTTATTTGTAGTAGTGCGTGTGCCTGAAGTTGAAGAGAATGTTGATGATAATTGTGTTGGTGGTTCAAGTATTGATGTACACATGACTGAACAAGACCAATTTATGTCAATGCAAGAGATGATGTACAATTTGTTGGTATCGCGCAACGGAATGTTTGCCTGTATGGGACAAAAACCAAAGGGGGGGGTGAATTGGTTTCTTATAAAAATTAGGGTTTTAAAATTTTTTCCCAAATTTCACCGATTAAAATGCTTGTAAAGTAAAGAAATAAGGGAAACAAGATTACACAAGTAATTTATATTGGTTTGGATCAAAAGACTGTACGTCCAATTGTTAATCACTCTAAAAAAGGATTAACATTGTGACTATAATCACAATTTAAAACAGATTACAAATTACAAAACACCTCTCTTGAGTCACACAAGAGATGAACACCTCCTTTGAATTCACAAAAGTTGACGACAACTTTTCCTAAAGACGGCACATCACAGAATCCACCAAGAAACCCACTCAGTGATTCGTATCGCTTCTAGCCCACACTAGGTTTCAAAAGCCCCTTTTCCTTCCCTACACAAAGTTCTCTAGCAATCACAACTCTTAACTTTTGTATGAAAAAGGTTGTGTAGTTCAGAGAACCATAGAGAACCTTAAATAGAGAGATTTAGGGTATGGGGAATAGATGTATCAAAAATAGGTCCAAAATAGAATTTCAAAATCATAACAAACGCAGATAATCGATTATCATAAGTGATAATCGATTATCACAGAACAAATTTTTGCAGAGTGAAATCTGGACCAAGATAATCGATTATCCTCTGAGATAATCGATTATTCCAGAACTTTCAAAAACCAACATTAACTAGGATAATCGATTATCAACCAAGATAATCGATTATTCCAGCAAGTTATTCAAAAACAAGTTTCAAGCAGGATAATTGATTATCCTGGAGATAATCGATTATCACAGAATGATTTTGATAAAAATGAACTTTCAGAGGATGAACTATGTGCTGGCTATCTTGGACTCTAATTTTACAGACTCAAAAAGACAAAATAGAGTTATTACAAGTAAATACAAATGATTATAAGTCTTCAAGTCTTTAAGTCCTTTGTTTTTTAAACATCATCAAAATCTTTAGGCATCATATCCTTGTACGTTCAACAATCTCCCCCTTTTTTATGATGATTAAAATATGCTTTAAAGCCCTTTGTAATAACATATTTTTACTGTCACATCTAACATAAAATATTAAACATACCAGACAACATAAAAATTTTAAACAGAGGAGGCTTTAAATATTTTCTCCCCCTGTCTTATCATAATAAAAAAAATAAGTTTCCCCTCAATATATGCATAAATATATATATTTTTTTTAAGTTGAGCAAAATAATACAACATACAAATAGAAATTTCAAAACCTAAAATTCTAAAATTCTTCGTTGTCTGAGTCATTATTAAATTTCATATCAAATCTATCTTCCAGATTTGACACACGTTCATCTATATCCAAAATGCGATTTGTAATTTCTTGATGACGATCTGTAGAGATAGAAAAGAAATCTTGCATTCTTTGGTTCATACTGAAAATCATGTCCTCTATATAAGAGTGGGGTTCAGTATGAGCACCAGATGAAGTCCTGGCAACAGGAATATCAGCAGCAAGTATCTCTTCATCATTAGAATCTACATCAACCTCAGCAATATGGGGTGCATCATCCTTATGAAAGTATGTTCCATTAACATTTACCATATGCAGCTAAGATAAAGTACCATCAAGCATCCAATTTGAATTTAATGTCTGAGCCTATTGTTCTCCTTCAACATTAACACCCTTGTATTCCAGAATCCTGGAGATAAGAAGAGCATAAGGAATCTTAAAGGTGGGATGACGCTTTGCTTTGAG